GATTAGGTCGCTCTCTTTTTGCTTCATATATAAATCATTTCAAAGTCCTGTCACCAGTATTTCGTTAGTTGAAATATTCAAGTGCGAACGACAAAGCACTACAGTTTCTTCGTCTAGACTACTAGGTTAATAAAACTGCTCGTATCAGGGCAAAGCTTTGAACTATCCGACTGCATTTAATTTCTACGTAATAGTTTGAATTAAAACAGTTGATGATAAATTTAAGAAAGGAAAAAAACTTTTAGAAAAAACTTTTATAAGTTTTTTTGAAAAATCATCCCCCACACGCTATGTTAGGTACTAATTGATCTATTTTGCAAAAAATAATAATTTAAATAGACCAAAGAGCAAACCTCAATCCAATTTGGAACAATTTCTAAGACGGATTGAATCTCCGCGTACGCATTACAAGCATGAAATATATCGCACGTTAGTTGTCCCAACTTGGACATTTTGGCAATTTTTAGGCCCTCATAATTCTGAAAAAAAATCATCACAGGCGGAATGAGTTTTATTTAAATTTGAGCTCAAGACAACAATAAGTTTTGAATGGTATCAAAAACCTGTCAAATATAGCTAGATAGGAAGTCGAAGTTTGACTGGAGAAAAAACCAACCCGAGCACAATTATTCCGTCTTTATCTTTAAAAAATGGGGATATTTTTCTTACAAAGCTAAATTATAACTACATTAAACACTAGCTTCTTAAGCAATTTTTTTGCTGAAAAATCATTTAAAAAATTTTAAAAAAATAAAAATCAAGTTTATCAAACAATCAATTTACAATTAAATTAACTTAAAGTTTCGACAGTTTTTTTGCTTAATGAGAGCCATAGCATTTATTGCTTGCTAATCGGTACACATGTTTATCACTACGCCCTTTTCAATTCGACTCATGTAATTACATGGTTGAGTGAGATTTTTCGGTTTGCTGTTGCTGATTAGGTCGCTCTCTTTTTGCTTCATATATAAATCATTTCAAAGTCCTGTCACCAGTATTTCGTTAGTTGAAATATTCAAGTGCGAACGACAAATCACTACAGTTTCTTCATCTAGACTACTAGGTTAATAAAACTGCTCGTATCAGGGCAAAGCTTTGAACTATCCGACTGCATTTTAATTTCTACGTAATAGTTTGAATTAAAACAGTTGATGATAAATTTAAGAAAGGAAAAAATTTTTAGAAAAAACCTTTATAAGTTTTTTTGAAAAATCATCCCCCACACGCTATGTTATGTACTAAGTGATATATTTTGCAAAAAATAATAATTTAAATAGACCAAAGAGCAAACCTCAATCCAATTTGGAACAATTTCTAAGACGGATTGAATCTCCGCGTACGAATTACAAGCATGAAATATATCGCACGTTAGTTGTCCCAACTTAGACATTTTGGCAATTTTTAAGCCCTCATAATTCTGAAAAAAAAATCATCACAGGCGGAATGATTTTTATTTAAATTTGAGCTCAAGACAACAATAAGTTTTGAATGGTATCAAAAACCTGTCAAATATAGCTAGATAGGAAGTCGAAATTTGACTGGAGAAAAAACCAACCCGAGCACAAATATTCCGTCTTAATCTTTAAAAAATGGGGTTATTTTTTTACAAAGCTAATTTATAACTACATTAAACACTAGCTTCTTAAGCAATTTTTTTGCTGAAAAATAATAAAAAATTTCAAATAGGCTTCCATTTTACTTTCGGATAAGTTAAAAACAAATGAGAGAAAAGCTATAGCTCAAAGTTGCAGCGTCTCAAAGCTATTATTCCACTGAAATGATTTCATACTAATTAAAGTTTTCAAAGAACTCTTCGCAAACAAAACAACTTTTGAGCGTTTGTTGTCACTTTTAGATATCATGTTTGCCCATTAGTTTTGGTTGTTTGCTAAAACAAAAAAAAAACAGATTATGCTTCAAGTTATCTTTGGCTATATAGTGCTGATTTAAATTTAAATTATCGGGACAAAACGAAAAAAAAATTTGAAATATGAAACTCGTTTTTCTCAAATTGGGTTGGTTTTAGCCAAAAAATGACGAAGCCAAAAAATTCGAAACGACCAGTTTCGAATTTTTGGTCAATTAGAAATTACGCCACAACTATTGGTTCAAGTGCATTGTATATACCTCAACAAAATTTTAGGAGGCTATTATCTCCGAAAAATGACGCAAAATGCCTAAAATTTGTTTATAAATAAGAAATTGGTACGTGATATAATAAAGTTGATAATTTTTGACAATCAAACGAAAATAAGTTTACGAAAATAGGTTTTATTATGCAAAACTGAGACAGTTACCTTTTTTAAAAGTTTTTTTGGGGTATATAGATGCTCACTTTTGTCAGCAATTAATCCATTAGTTTTGGTGCAATTTTTGATTATAACCAAAAATGAAAATAACCAAAACTTGTCGTTTTTGGGTTGAATTTTTAGGCTCGAATTTCGCGTATTAAATTATGCCTTATTGATTTTGCTAAAATTCTAAGCAAGTTTAGTCTTCATAATTTTTTTGTCTAAATTTCAACAAATTGAAAAAAAATGCGTTTTATATTTTAATTTTTATTCGTTTTACTCGCATAACTTCAATCAACACTGTTCATACACTATAGCTTACCGAGTTGTTTGTATAGTGTGTTCGAGATCTATAAATCACTTTTGCCAAAAATGGTTTTTGCTGCGTAAGTCAGTGCACCGTCATAAATGTTATGACTTTTTTGCTATTACGTGATGACAAATTAATCACTTTTTCAGCTACCAGTGTAAAATGATTGCCAAAAGTTTTTTCAGCAGCGAGAGCTCATTCTTTTTCTTCAGGTCGGTGGTTTAACTTCGAAACACCACAAGCTTTTGCGTCACACTAAGTTTCAGGCGATAATTCTACGGCTTCAAAAGTTTCAAACGCTTGATTTTACCAGCAGCAATTAACCTTTTATTGTCAGTTTAAACAGCCGATTTGCTTGTTAACTTGAGCTTCAGTTTCAATCAAAAGTACAACTAAAATGGCGGACGAGCCTCGGGCTTTATTTGGAAACTGGTTCTCATACATTCTAGCAACTATCGGATTTGCAGTCGGACTTGGCAATGTATGGCGATTTCCCAAAACGTGTCTCGAAAACGGCGGAGGAGCGTTCCTGATTCCTTACTTCATCGTGTTTTTTGTCGAGGGAATCCCGTTGATGATGATCGAATTAGTGGTCGGGCAGAGGTTCCGGGGTTCCCCGGTGCATTCATACGGCCGCATGAACAAATACCTCTGGGGAATCGGAGTTGCGATGATGTTTGCGAGTCTTTACACTGTTTTATACTACAACACCATATTGGCCTACGCTTATGTTTACTTCTTCAATTCATTTCAAGCTACCCTCCCTTGGGCAAAATGTCCTGAAGGAGATGTGGCATGCCTCAGCAGCTCGGACCCTAGTCAGTGGTTCTTCAGCGACCAAGTAGCGATGACGTCATCTGACCTTGAAGACAATTCAGGAGGATCAAATGGGTTCGTTTGGCACGTATACTTTGCAACTTTGGTCTCTTGGGTTACAGTTTTCCTGGCAATGATAACAGGTGTGAAATCTTTAGGAAAAGTTGTTTATTTCACAGCGTTGTACCCTTATGTCATGTTAACTGTGCTTCTGATCATTGGCGTGCGACTTGACGGCGCAAAAGAGGGTTTGAAATTTTTATTCGAACCTGATTTTGACAAGCTGTTGGAACCAACAGTGTGGCTCGCTGCCGCTGAGCAGATCTTCTTCAGCGCTGGATTGGGATTCGGAGGTTTGATTTCGATGTCATCGCGGATGCCGGTCCGAAACAACGCTTTTTTGGACACTTTTGTAATCATGTTCGTCAATTCATTCACCTCTCTTTATGCCTCAATTGGAATATTTTCCATAAAAGGACATATGGCGCAGAACAGTTTAGAAGAATGTGAAGCGAACAATGTGAACGCGACTGCAACTGTGACAAGCTGCGACTTCAATTTTTTCATGCAGGAAAACGACTCGGGAACCGGCTTGGTGTTCGTCGCAATGGCCAAGGCAGTCGAAACGATCGGCGGCTCTGGAAGCGCCACGATTCTCTCAATTCTCTTCTATCTCATGATCATAACTCTCGGTTTGGACTCGGCTTTCGGAATTGCCGAGGGGTTCGTGTCGGTTTTCGCTGACTTGAAACTCCTACGAAAAGTCCCACACTACGTTTTGATGGGAATATTTTGTATTTTCGGAGCTGCAGTTTCACTGTTATTTTCTACAACACGTGGTGGCTATTTTATCGATATCTTCGACCTCTACGGGGCCGTTTATGTCCTCGTAATTGTCGGGTTTTTCGAGCTCGTAGCTGTCGGATGGGTGCACGGCATTCATAACTTCAGTCGAGATTTCACAATAGTGAACGACTTCCACCCATTTTGGATCTTCAAACTAATGTGGAAGTACATTTCGCCTATTGCTCTTTTTGCGGCAATAGTTGGCAAATTTGTGGATGATGCGCTTGAGAATGCGTTGCTCACGTATACGCCGGGAAGTGAAAAAGAGACGTATCCATGGTGGGCTATGGTTTTGTGTCTGTTTTTATTCTTCTCGGCTGTTTTACCTATTCCGCTCGCAGCGCTAATCAGCCTCTGCACTAGACTAAACTTCGGCAAAATCGATTACAACGAGAAGGAAATAACTTCGAAAATTGAGCCGAAAGAATATTGGTCAATCGAGCAACTGGTATGCTGCGTTCCTGAAGAGTTCGACTTCCCTGAAAACATCCAGCTCAGATATGTCTCGCCGGAACCACTGGCTCCGCCCCCTCGCTACTCCAGCGGTACTAGTTTGGTCGGCTCAAAGGGGTCTGAAGATTACTACCCAACTGCTAACACCCAATTCTGAGAAAGACGGAAGCATTTCTATGTTGAACTCATAACAATTTGCAGCACCTTTTCCAATCTCAGCATTAGACAGCTTGTAAAGATTTTACAATTACCAATTTCATTACTTTTTTACAATTCAATGAAATTTTGTAATCTTTTTAACGGGTCAGAAAACAAAAGTTTGGCTATAGTTTTACAGTACGGTTGCAATCACGGATTTTTTTTTATGTCAAAGATAGAAACTGAAAAAAATATATTAACTAAACTTATCAGATTTCTCAAAGTGTGGCTTCTCGAATACGTTCAAAATTTAAAAGAACTAGCAAAGCTATCTTCACTTGAAAACTAAATCCTAGGAGGATGAATGCTATGGAATGACTTCGCGTTTCAAACTTTCAGACTTGAACATAGTAACTTTCACTAAGAAAGCATTGAGTCTTGGTAATAGGAAAGCGCAAAATTAAGCTTGAAAAACTTTTCCACGGACAGAAATTAAACATTTAAGAGCTTAATTAAAAGTTTTTGAGTGAATCTGTTGGGCTAGTTGATCGATATCTTTACTCACTGCTTTCCTCGCTTCGAATTAGAATAAAACGCAAAAATTTCTAAATACATTTTCGCGAGATAGGCAGTTTTTGCAAACTTTTCAATATCGATCGATTCAAAACAGAGAAAGTTTTACTTAAATGATATAACATTCGACCCTTCATATGATTATTTTTGGTGCCTGAATTCGCGAGCACAAAAAAAAACAAACAGCCAAATACAACACTCCTTCACTTTTCTGAGGTCGAAACGTAATATTTGTCAGAAACGTCTTTGTAGTTATTTCTAGCCGTTCCACCAGTACATAAAAGGAAAATCACAAGAAGTTATTCCTCATTCATACATTACACTCGCACTTCATGCCACTTCATGTAGGGGCTTCCGAAACATGTTGTCAATTTATTGCAACGTTTGAAATATTAACTGATGACAATGTCTGTGAATAGTTTCTTAAATTCGTCATACTTCAGTTGGTTTTTTTTTCAGTTCCTTTAAAAAATTTTGCAGCGCAATTTAAGAATTTTTAATTTCAGAGTTCATTTAAAATAAATTGAGCTAGTATTTTTGGTGGTCTTATGATCTTAGTAAACTTACAGTGATGTTATTTAAAGCCTCCCGGAGCGACCTCCATACACCAAAAATGCTTATCATACAATTCGATACAACAGAAATCATTATCATAAAATTCCATACATCAAATGTATGAAGAAAATGCTTGTCATACAATTTTCATGCATTTTCGAAAAACAATAGAAAATAAAAACTAAATCTCAGGTTTTCTTCTCTGTTCAGAGGTTGCACGGCTTATTAGATGGGATTTAATGTAATTTGTGCCGCATTTGAAAAAAAGTTTCAAAAACTGTTTTTTTTATACAATTCTCATAAATGACAAAATTTTAGTCATACAATTTCCATTTCATTTATGGCAAAATTGTTAGTCATACAATTTTCATTTATGGGAAAATGTTTAATATAAAGATTTCATACAATTTGCTGTACGTATGGAATTGTATGGAATTGTATGACAAGAAAATTCCCATTTATGAGAATTGAATGACGAGCATTTTTGGTCAACCCGGGCTACTTGTAACCTCCCGGGGTTGCGCAAATCTCGCCAGAAAATTGGATCAAATCTTTTAGTTTTGCGAGGTATGAAAGAAAGTCATTTCCCTTTCCAAGATCTTTAGTATACTGCATGCAATTCCCAAGGTTATGCCCTCTCAATTGAGTTTTTACTTTGCCAAGAATATTCGTATAATCACAAATCCTGCAAGAAGGCAGCAAAAAATCGTAAGCTGCAAGCAGTTGATTACAAAATAAACTATTTGTTACATTCCTCTTCGATCAATTATTTGAAGACGAAGAATCAACAATTTTTTGAGGGATACTTTTACGGAAACTTATTTTGATAATCGAATCCGTCTGAAAAATAATTTTCCGAAAAATGACTTGATTTCGCCTGCAGTTTTTTGTATGATTTCATAATGAGTAAAAGCATGCTGGGACAAAAATATTCCCAACAAAATCTGTTTCCCAACAAAATCTCCCGTCTGGTAATCAAAAACTTATAGCCCTTCCAGTTTGCCAATGCTTGAAGAAATTAAAACAACTGTTGTTTCGTCATTAACTAGTGTATTCATACAACGTTGCATCCATATTTTGTTAGTAGTGAACTAAGAGCTGCAAAGAGTTACTAATTATAAACAAGACTGCTCGTATCAGGGCGAAGCCCTGAAAGTTCCGACTGCCTTTTAACGTTTATGGAGCAGTAAACACATAAACCATATCAAAAAAGACGTTCGCCTTAACCATTTCGCTCATTTTGCTTTTTTTAGACAAAATTGGTTCAATTTGACTGAATTTAGTGGACAACAAAAATGAAACAAAATCTGAAATAAAAATTTTTGAGTCACATTTGATGTGAGAATTGCTGAGATCGCAAATCGGTCGCATAATTTAAAAGAAACTAGAGGCCCAGCAAAAGCTGGAGGTACCTGTTTGATAATTTTTGACTGTTAAAATTTCGGCTTCATCCAAAAACTTACGTGTTGCTCTATTAAATTATGAGTGAAAGTTTTTGTCATTTTGGAATTTCCCCAGAGACATAAATTTTTGGTACAAAAGGTATGGCGTAGAAATTTAAACGCGTTGCCTTTGCTCAACCTGTTGCCTTGATTAAACCCTTGATATCAGATTGAGTTGTTTTCGAGAAGGGTCAAAAAAATTCAAAAAAATGGTCAAGAAATCAAAACATTGACATTTCTGAAGGCCACAATTTTTTTGTTACAAAATTTGGACATGAGCTGTCACACAGGGCAGCTTCGCTCAACCCTTTGTTTTGAATGAACCCAACATTTAAGTTTTGAGAGGGTAAATTTCCGAGAAAAGTCAAAAAGCTATAAAAGACGGTCAAAAAAACTTAACTTTACTGTTCCGAGAGTCATAAGATTTTGTATTACAAACTGATTGTCACCGCTTATGCAGGGTAATTTCCCACAAACCGTTCTACCCATTGAAATCAAAACCACAGATTTGGGCGGGTAGTTTCAATATAAATCAAAATATTTCAAAAAGAAGGTCAAAAATCAGAAGTTCGACATTTCCGAAGATCGCATCTTTTCGTTTAAAAATTGGGCGCAATTCAGGCTAGTTTCTCAGAACCCATTCTCCCCGTTGAAACCAAATCCTCAGATTTTGGTCGGTAGATTTCGAGAAAAATCGAAAGTTTCACAAAACGGTTAAAAAAATTGAAAAATTGATTTTTCTGAGGGTCATAACTTTTTGTGAAGAAAATTCGAAATTAGACGCTGATGCAGGAGAGTTTTCCATAACGCGCTTTTTCGTTAAAATCAAAATCTCAGATTTGGGCTAGTAGTTTTTTGAGAGAATGTAAGAAGTTCAAAAACATGGGTCAAACCAAACGTTTCCCCCAAACGTTTTTGCGCAGGCTGAAGAAAGTGGGTTAAATTGAAAAAACAGAAAACAGGGGATTTTGCAGGCACATAGGGTATCGGGCTGGCTTCTCGTTAAAACCATTTTTGAAAATCTGTTCAGCAGATTTTGAGAAAAAACCAAATTCACGGAAAAAAACATAATTGCAAAAAAGTTGAACATGTTTCTGCCATAATCTACTTAACAATCTCGACACCCCTTTCTTTAAAAGCGGGAGATTGTTCAGTAGATCTTTTTATTTTACACATTGTCAAAGTGACTCATAATTATCGGTTTGAATTATCATTTACGGAATATTTTGCTATGTTATCACACAGCAGTCTAAGTCTTGTCAGTTGTCAAAAAAATTGTTTGAGACACAAATCGGTCTGAGGCTCAATAAGCTGGAGATTAAAAAAACCTTTTTTCAGTATGCTAGTCAAAGCGTTATTGGCTTGTTAAATGATCATTTTTATAACTCGACGCAGTATTATAGTCAATGACGGCCAGCGCACTTAGTCCAGATTGAGGCGGGAAAAGTAGAGTTAGAAAAAAAAATTTCGATCTGTAAATCTAACTCAACAATTGGTTAAATACCTGCTCAGAACAGACAATTTAATTGAAATCAAGGGCAGATTTACGGGGGGGCGGACGCCCTCCCCACTCAGAGATTCGACCCCCTGCCGACCCAAAGGGTCACCCCTTTGTACTATTTAGAGAAAAACTAAATTCTTGATAAAAATTAAACATGTTTCCAAAGCGTCTCATAGATAAATTGAAAAAAAAATTTAAAAAAAACCGAAGCCATACATTTTCATAACACTTGTTTTTATTAAACAGAAAGAGAAGAAACTTAACTTCGAGACGCGTGATCAGTGGGTTATAATCTTCTGGGAAATTTATTATAGAAAAAACTGTCATAACGATAGTCGTAATTTGAAACTTAGTCTGCTTTGTTTTACGCTGCCCTGCCCTGCCTTGCCTAAATCTACTGTCCCTTGCAATTTCCTGCCTTGTTTAGCACTGCGCTTCCTTGCTGTGCTACTTGCACTGTCTTGCCTTGCCTTTTCTTCAGCTGCATTGCGCTTCCTTTCTTTGAGCTGTCTTGCTCTGCCCTCTCCTGCCTTGCTCTGCCCTACCATACCTTGTCCTATCTTGCGCTACTCTTCCTTGCGTTGCGCTGAATTGCGTACTAACCTGTCTTGTTTTGCGATGCTCTACCTTGCTTTGAGCTGCGTTGCCATGCTCTTCCTTCCGTTTTCCGGCGCTTCCATACTCGAACCCTCCTTACCTTGCGCTGCCCTGCCTTGATCTGCAACGCGCAGCTCTGCCGTCTTTCGCCCTGCCAAGCGAAGCTCCCTACCATGCGCTGCTCCACGTGGCCTAATGCTGCGCTGCCCTACCTTGTCTTGCGCAACTTTGCACTGCGTTGCTATTCTCAACCTGCCCTGCCCTGCTTATCAACCTGCCCTACCCTGCAATGATTTGCACTACCCTGCCTTGCGCTTCGCTGCCTTTCCCTGTTTTGACTTGCCCTGCACTTCCCTCCGCTGCCATGCCTTACTTGGCGCTGCGCTGCCCTGCTTTGTTCTGCGCTGAGCTGTCTTGCTTTGCGCCGCCATACTTTTCTTGCCTTGCCCTGCCTTGCCTCTCCTTCCTCTGCCTTGCCTTGTTTTGAGCTGTTCT